CATAGAGCCTGATGCAGGGCTTGAACTCAGGAGCCATGAGATCAAGACCTGAGTCAAAGTTGGATGCTTAACTGACTCAGCCATCCAGGAGCCCTCTAAGTGATTACTTTAAAAAAAAGTAGCTTAATCTTCTGATTATGAAATTAATACATGTAGAAAATACAGAGAGAGTATAAAAGAAAATAAATTTAAAAATTACCTGGGGATGCCTGGGTGGCTCAGTTGGTTAAGTGTTCGACTTTGGCCTAGGTCATGATCTAGGTCCTGAGTTCAAGCCCCATGTCGGTCTCTGTGCTGACAGCTCAGAGCCTGGAGCCTATTTCAGATTCTGTGTCTCCCTCTCTCCCTATGGTCCTCCCCCATTCATATTCTGTCTCTCTTTCTCTCTCAAAAATAAACATTAAAAACATTTTTTTAATTACCTGTATTTTTTAATCCAGCCTGTTTCCTAAGGCTAAGCAAGCAAAATACAACGGTGGTGCTTCCAGTGTGGAAGTTGAAAGACAAATGCTAAGTGTAACAGCCCTCCTTCTTTAGAGCTGTTTCTTTAGACCTCCTTCCCTGTAGGAAATCATGAGAAAGCTTGACCTTTGGCCAACTCGTTGGGCTTCCTAACTAGAGCACAGCCCCGTTGGTCTTAGTCACTTTAAAGTGCATGAGCCTTAGAGGTTTTAGGAAAACCAGAGGTTTTTTTAGCATTTTACTGTGATACGAGTTTGGTGTCAGCTTTGAATGGCTGTGCCAAAGTGTGTGCTTCACAGCTTGTGAGGCTTACTGATCTACAACTTTTTGCAGAAAAGTCACTTCAATTGCTACCAAATGAGCAATTTTACAGCTTCCGAGCAAATTTAATGTATAGCCTAAGGAGGAGCAAATTACAGTAGTCTAGCCTAGAAGGGCTGAAAACACATATTAGTGTGTCAGGATTTCTGCCAGAAAAAGAAAAGTCTAGGGTTTTTTCTTTTTAATTGAGTATTAGAAGTAGGCTGTATCTCCTAAGAGTACCACTAAAATGAGAACGTCCACACTGTGAACATGGAAATGAACTCTTAAGTTAGAACTGGCCTCAAAAGTTCCAATTCTAACTTTCAGGCTTTATTTGATGCGTTATAGGTGATTTTGTTATTATATGATGTCGAGGTTTCATATTTATTCTTTAAAAACAAGCTTTTGTTGTGTTTTTGTTTAATATCAGAAAAAGCAATAGCTGCTCATTATAGTAAATTTACAAACGATAAGTAAATAAAATTGCGAAACTAGAAATCATCTACAATGCCCAGACATAACCACTGTTAACATTTAGGAATGTATCCATTCAGGTTTTTATTCTATGCATGTATGTGATGGGTGTATTTAAAGATTTTATTTTGGGGGCACCTGGGTGGCTCAGTTTGTTAAGTATCAGACTGTGGCTCAGGTCATGATCTCATGGTTCGTGAGTCAAGCCCCACACTGGGCTCCCTGCTGTTAGCTTTGGATCCTCTGTCTCCCTCTCTCTCTCTCTGTCCCTCCTGTGCTCACACACACATACACGCTCTCTCTCAAAAATAAACATTAAAAAATATATAAAAAATAAAGATTTTATTTCTAAGTAATCTCTACACCCAACATGGGGCTTGAACTTACAACTCTGAGATCAAGAGTTACACTGTGTACCGACTGAGCTAGCCAGGCCCCCTATGATGGGTATATTTAAAATAAAAAATAGGGTGCCTGGCTGGCTCAGTCGGTAGAGTGTACGACTCTTGAGTTCAAGGTTGCAGGTTTGAGCCCCGTGTTGGGTGTAAAGATTACTTAAGAATAAACTCTTGGGGCGCCTGGGTGGCTTAGTCAGTTAAGCATCCAGCTTTGGCTCAGGTCATGATCTTGCAGTTGGTGAGTTCGAGCCCCACATCAGGCTCTGGGCTGATAGTGTGGAGCCTGCTTGGGATTCTCTCTCTCCCTCTCAAAATAAATAAACTTTAAAAAATAAAATAAATTCTCAGAATAAAAAATAAAAATGACTCATAGAGAATATACCATATCATTTTCACTGAATAATGCATCTTGAACATCTTTCTACATTGATATATATGTAAATACTTAGTAATACCCATCTCTAAAGGTTTGTACCCATTCATTATTATTTCCTTAGAATAATTTCTTGGTAGACTTGTTGGGTCTGACAACTTACAGAATTTTTTTTCTTTTGATAACTTATAGAATGTTAAGGTAGTTGATATACATGGTCAGATTCCAGGAGTTTCTCTTATTTATCACCTGCTTCATTCCAGAAAGATTTCACGTTACTGGCTTTGACAGTTACTATTGTAGTTAAGTGTCCAATTTTTAAGTACACAAAAGTGGCTTTATCAATGAGTTGAGAATGAAGCTGCCTTTTACAATAAGCTTAAGCCACTTCCCTTTGGAGTTCTTAAACTTCTAATTTATTCGGTCCTTGGCTTCTTACAGGAGCTGTAGTCCGCCTCCTCCCAGGTATCCTCTAGTGACTGTTTATCCTCGGTGGAAACTGGGTGGCAGTGTTCCTGTGCTGTCACACTGTGCCTTGTCCTTCTGTGCTAGGCAGTAGTGTTGGCAAGCTGCCAGATGAGGCAAATGTTTATGGAGGCATCCCCAGGCCCACTCGACTCCAGTTATTCTGGATGAAATGGCACTTCTGTGGTAGCAAGCTGTTGATTGGATTTTTAAAGTCCTGATTTCACTATATCATTCTCAGAGAAAGATTTATTTTTTAATTATTGCTCATGAAATGCCTTCTCTCTGAACCCCAAAGGTCTTGTTAATTTGTTTCTCCGCACACTAACTCCCAGCTCACAGTTCCACCTGCCTCTGATTTGCTCACCTTCCTCAAAGTTCCACCTTGAGTCACTGTCCTGAAAATGAATACTTTCTTTTTGAGTTCATCAGAGATGCTTATTAAAGAATAGTTTCAAATGCCTGCTTGTTTATTTTCATCACTGCCTGTAACTGAGGGCTCCACTTCAGAGTCTGAACATGCTGTTCCAGCAGGCCATCCCTGCCTCGCTGGGTTAATACTCCAGTCACAAACCAGCTTCTCCCATAGTGTTCTGACTTCAGTTCCTTCCTTTTTCTGATTAATCCATATGAGGAAATTTTTGAAAGAATCCTAAATTCCAGATTGTAGCTCTTGCTTTTTTTTTTTTCTTTAACATTCATTTTTGAGAGACCGAGTGTGAGTGGGGGAAGGGCAGAGAGTGAGGGAGACACAGAATCCGAAGCAGGCTCCAGACTCTAAGCTGTCAATACAGAGCCCAACGTGGGACTCGAACTCACGGACCACGAGATGATGGCCTGAGCTGAAGTCAGACGTTCAGCCGACTGAGCCACCCAGGCGCCCCAACTCTTGCCTTTTTTGAAACTTTAAGAATCTGTTCTGTTCTGTGTTCAGATTCAGCTTCTGTTTTTTGGTAGTTAAATGTAATGTTCTATTAAATGTTACCATCTTGAGGATCCATCAGGAAGTGTGGCTGTGTTGATTATCAAAGCTATTCTCATTCCCAGGTGTCCTCACAGGTATGTGTGTTGTGCACGTGTGCACATTTATGGGCACTTACTAGAGAAAGCGCCACGTTAGCCGTGACATTAATACTGACTCCAAAACCTGAATGAAGTAAGCATGTAAAAACACATTTCTTTTTTCCTTATCATAACAGACTATTTTCAATATTACCAGTATCATATCTGGCAGAGTACATAATAATTAATAAATAACATAGCTGTTAAATGTAACTTTGTTGGAATTATGACCTCAAAGCTTAATAAAGCTTGGTGTTTTTGCCTGTTTCAGGGTTTTAACATCAAAAGTGTACAATCACAAGGTTTTAAACTGAATGTATGGGACATTGGTGGACAGCGAAAAATCAGACCATACTGGAGGAATTATTTTGAAAATACTGATATTCTTGTAAGTACTCCTTCTGAGGCATTAATTCATAGTCTTTTCTGCAGTGTGTTAGGAATATTAACATTGCTAATATTAACATAATATTAATGTTCTTTCTTGTTAGTACTTCCATTGCCATAACATTAGTCACTGTGAATTTAGGACTAGCAGGAGGCTGCAAATTGTGAGAGAGAAACATCTTTTTTGTTGCTGTTGTTTTAATGTTTATTTATTTTTGAGAGAGAGAGAGAGACAGAGCACAAATAGGGGAGGGGCAGAGAGAGAGGGAGACACAGAATCCAAAGCAGGCTCCAGGCTCTGAGCCGTCAGCACATAGCCTGACATGGGGTTCAAACTCACCATCTGCAAGATCATGACCTGAGCTGAAGTCAGACGTTCAACTGACTGAGTCACCCAGGCATCCCAAAAGAAAAATCTTTGTATAACTTGTATAAGAGTTTTGTTTTTGCTCAGTGACAACGTTGTACCCACATTCACCTTGGCAAAATATTTATTAATTACCATAGTGATTTGAAAAGCAGAAGGGAAATCAGAAGATCGTGCCACTGACTCCATCATCCCAAAGAAATCCAACAAGTAAGAGTATCCCAAAGAGGCAACCAAGATGGTGGAAGTCCTGGAAATAATGATGCATAAGGAATGGTTGAAAGACAGATGTTCTTTCTACAAAAGAAACTTGGAACTGTTTTTTCAGTTGCTTTAAGAGCTATCAAGTCAGAGAGATTAGCTTCATCATGAATAGTTCTAGAGGACTGGGTAAGGAGCAATTTGGGAAGTATTAGGTGGTAGAGTTTAACTCAGAATAAGGAAAAAGTCTATCATTTTAACCATCCAGAAGTAGAAGCAGTTGACTCATGCATTGGAGATTCCTGGCTCAGGCAGCATTCAGGAAGGGGCTGAGATTTTAGCTCCCAGCTCACTGTCACGTTCCACAGGACTACCATTTCAGAATCCCGGAGATTTCACTATCCACATACTTGATTTCTCCAACACCTCAGCTTCTCCGTTCCTTCACCTCCCCTTCAGGGATTTTCTCACCCACCCGACCTCAGCTACTCGCTGTCACGATCATAACCTAAAACAATGGGGTCTCATGAACTTGCATAGGAAAATAAATTGCACATTCTTTTCATTAAACTCTAGTGAAAAGTTTGAATTTACTACAATTCTGCCTATAGACAAGGAACAGCCATGCTGGTGTGTTCATTCATTACCAATAGACGTCATCCCACGTCTCAAATAACTTTACTCTCTGCTTCTGCTTCCTAAGTGCCTTTCTACTGGATCATTCTTTCGGCATGCACACAGCCTGTGGTTTCTCTTGTTTAGAAACAAAAAACTCTTGTCCTGACCGTGTATCCCATCTAGTCCTAGTCCTAGTCCTCAGCCTCTATTTTTATTTACTTTTTCAAGTAGGCTTCACACCCAGGGTGGAGCCCAGTGAGGCTTGAACTCATGAGCCTGAGATCAAGACCTGAGTTGGGGCACCTGGGTGGCTCAGTCACTTAAGCGTCCAACTATGGCTCAGGTCATGATCTCTTGGCTCATGAGCTCGAGCCCCACATCAGGCTCCATGCTGACAGTGCAGAGCCAGCCTGGAATTCTCTCTCTCCCTCTCTCTTCCCCTCCCCCACTTGCACACACACACTCTCCAAATAAACAAACAAAAATAAATACATAAAATACATAAAAAAAAAAAAAAAAGACCTGAACTGAGATCAAGAGTTGGACACTTAACTGGCTGAGTCACCCAGGTGTGCCCCTCAGCCTCTTTTTAAAACAAAACTCTGTTAAAGAGTTTTTTGAGTTCTCTGTCCTCACTTCCTCCTCCCATTCTCTCTTGAACCCTCCATTCAAGCTCACCAAGAATCCACGTTGCTAAGGTTTTCCATCCTCCTCTTACTTGATGTATCTGCACAGTTAATGAAGTCGGTCATGCTGTCCTTGAAACTTTATCTTCCCCTGTTTTCCAGAAAACCATTCTATCTTGGATTTTCCTCCTATCTCACTGGCTACTCTTCCTCAGTCTCCACTGCTGTTTTTCCCCTTGTTTCCCAACCTGCAAATGTTGGAGGGCTCTAGAATTCAGCCTTTGCTTTTCTTCTCTAAGTTGTGGCTTAAGTGATCTCATCCAATTTAAGGTATTAGTTACCACCTACAAGCTGGTGAATCCCAATGTATTATCTCCAGCTGGAAACTCTCGCTTGAACCTCAGTTTCATATGTAGCCAGCTGCCTGTTTGATATCTCCACTTCAGTGGCCAGTAAGCCTCTTCAACCTGAATAGGTCCGAAACCAAATTCCAATCTCCATCCACCCCTCCCCAAACCTGCTTCTTCTACAGTCTTCTCAGTAAATGACAATTCCGTTCATTCAAAATCATTGGAGTCATCCTTGGCTCCTTTTCTTCTCACCCCCCACCTCTGACCTATCAGCCAGTCCTGTCAGTTCTACTTCAGAATATTTCTAGAATCCAACCACTCCTTTCCATCCCCCTGCTACCATGCATTGATTACTGCAGTGTCATCCTCACTAGTCTCCTTGCTTCTGCCTTTCCTCCCTCAAGTCGCTTCTCAATGCTGTATCTATAGTGATCCCATTCAAACATAAGCTTCCCAATGTCACAATAAAGCCAGTGGCCTTACAATGGCCTACAAGGCCCCCTACCTTCTGGTTTGTCTTACCTGTCTCATCTTTCCCCTCTCTAGCTTGGTGCCAGCCACACGGGCCTGCTTGCTGTTCCTGGAACACTGGCATACTCCCACCTCAGGGCCTTGATCATTGCTATTTGCAGTGCTAGGATTCTTTCCCCTTAGATATCCTCATGGCTTCTTCCCTTACCTCCTTCAAGTCTCTGCTCACATGTCACTTTTACCACTGAGACTTTCTCTGATTACTATATTTAAAATTATGACTCCTATCCCTACCCTTCTGGCACTATAATTTTTCTCTTTTTTTTTTTCTCTTCGATTAGACCTATCAGTATCAGACATGTTTTTATTTATTACCCTTCTCCCTCCTGGAACGTAATGTTCACAAAGACAGGGACCTTGCTTTTCCTCCCAAACTGTTGTATCCCAAGTGCTTAGAAAAGTGCCAAATGAAATGGACAACTGTTACAGATGGATTCTGACATTAGGTATAATATAGAATTATATGACTTCTAAATTCACTTCCAACTCTGAGGTTCTCTGATTCTGCATCATTGTGGTTAAGTCCAAGGGCTTGTTAATTCCTTCTATAAAATAGGTAGAACATTTACTTCAGGAGGGGTTTATGAGAAGTAGTGAATTCATTTACTCCCCACAATTCTTAAATGGAGAATAATACCAAAATGTAAAACTGTGCTATCATCAAATCAATAAACACATGAGGTACTGACATAGGCATCCCACAGCCTTCTCTTATTTCTTGCCCTCAGTGAAGGTAAGTTCAAGTATATACCTAGTGCCAGGTTAGAGGTTTAAATGGATGAGGAGAGGGGTGCGTGGGTGGCTCAGTCGGTTAAGTGTCTCTCGATTTCAGCTCAGATCACGATCTCACGGGTCATGAGATTGAGCTTCTTATCGGGCTCTGTACTGACAGTTTGAAGCCTGCTTGGGATTCTATCTCTCCCTCTCTCTCTGCCCCTCTCACGCCCATGCATTCTCTCTCAAAATAAATAAACATTTAAAAATTAAATAAATAAGGGGTGCCTGGGTGGCTTAGTCAGTTGACTGTCTCTTAATTTTGGCTCAGGTTGTTGTGATCCCAGGGTCATGGGATCCAACCTGCATCGGCTCTGCACTGAGCATGGAGCTTGCTTAAGATTCTTTCTGTTTCCCTTTGCCCCTCTCCCCCTCTTGCACTCACTCTCTCTAAAATTAAAAAAAAAAA